GGTCATAACCCAAAAGTCGGGTGCTCGAATGCATCATAAGAAATAACATGATTCAAAAACTGCCAGCTCAGCGCCAGAGCAGCCTGAAGACTAGCAAGCTGAATATTAACTTTGTTTTCCATTAAAAGATCTCACCGAAGGGGTTGCATGACATCTGCATACGACGGTGGTGATGCTGATCGGGTGATCCAGAGGCCGAGAAGGGGAATGAATTGGGCCAAAGCATAGGCGGGATGCCAGTCAAGGAAATCGACACAAAGTTGGACAGATCGAGATATGTCGGGACGCGACCAGACCAGACTTGCATCGCCAGGCATCTGCCAGCCACGCGTTCGCCATGGGGAGAGAAATTCATCCACCACCTGGGTTTCGCAGACAAAAGAATTTAGAACACTAGGCATAAGATTGATACTGTATGAAAAAGGAAGCCCCACTACATGATCATGGGCATAACCAGAGGGAAGCCAACCTCAGAAATTGAATAGAACAGTTTACCGACTTAATGAATAGATAAGTAGCCTTTACAAAGAGAGGAAGAAGGGTCGTAGGCCTTAACCCCGATTTGGCATGGTCGACTTTCTTTCTGATAAAGTGAACTTATTTGGAAGGTAGTCCTCGAGGAAGGTCAGTTAAGACATCGTCGCCATAAAACTGTGCGCACCTGGGTGACAGGGCATTCGGACAGGCCAAGGACGATTTTTTGCCATGTAGGGCTGCGCCACACACTGCTGTCTGGCATCACTGCCTTTGGAGCCGGTACAGTGGTGTCAAATTCAGCTCCAGTGAGCCGACGCAAGGCCTCACCGGCATTCATTTGAGTGAGAAGTTTGCACGCGGTAATGGGGCCCACTCCAGGCACTCCGGAAGGCCAGTAGTCGCAACCCAGTACCAGGCCCAACAAAATTAGCGACCTTTGGCACAGACCAAGTCGAGACTTTATCTGCTTTGAGCCGTACGCCTTCACCGAGGCGTTCTAAATGTAGTAGAAGGTGACATCAATTGTATGACCTACGCGGGCATCAAGAGAAAAGTGGCGGTAGACAATCGCAGCGCCATAGAGGAGAGCATCGCCATCGTCTGTCACACACGCATCCACCAGCTGCAAATGCAAAGAGGAAGTTCAAAACTTGTCCCTTTGAAGGTGCTTAATTTTAGAGGAGCGACTTGCATTCTCCATGTTAAGGAAAGAGCACATGGCTTCAGCTTCGCCAGGACTCGCGATGCAGGGAACACCGAGGGCTTTCAACAGTTGGGAGCACTGCAAGATAGGCAATATACACAACCTAGCCTTTTTTATGACTTAATGCGCTCGATTGCAACGTCATTCCTTAAAAGCTTTATAAAGCCTCTGGCATACACAAAAGTGTGCAGTCGGAACCATCATTACAGTTTAACAGGCACACCACTAAGAAGTCAGAGAAAATCGACTACCACACTGCCGAGGTTATACTGATCTGCTACAACACCAACGCTCACAGCCATGAAAAAGTAAATGAAATTATCTGATCGGTAGTTTAGTTCTACATCAGCGTTATTGTTTTACGCTCAATGAGTTTGTTTGCAACACGATTTGTGACACCAGGCTCGATTAAATGGCATCGACATCTGCCTTCGAAAATGGCTTAAGTTGGAAAATTTATAAAAAAAATGCCAAAGCCAGGTTACGAATTTATGCATTAAAAATACATCAAAGCCGAGACATGAAACGCAGATCCACATGGGTGAATAAGGCCTTGCAGGCCCACGCTCTCCATGATGGATATTTACGACCAAGAGGCATTAAAAAAAACTCTAACAGTTAAAAATAAAAAAAGCCCCTGGTTAACATACACACCTAGGTGTGCCGTTTCTCCCGGGTCAGACAGTATTTGAAGTCGTATTTTGGA